TGTCCTTCCCCCCCCCCCGCCCCCCCCCCAGGCCGGACCACGCTCACCTCTCTGGTGGCCCCCCTTTATTTCTTTCTTTTCCCTCCTATTCCTCCTCCTGGCCAAAGGGACTCCTGTCCTAACCGCCGGACCTTGGCCGAAGGGAGGGCGGCGAGAGAGAGAGAAAAAGTCCGTCCGCTTCGTCCCTTGAAGGCGAGAGAGAAAAAGAGCGGGAGGGGGGTCTTGGCCGTCGAGCTTTTCAAAGAAGGGGAGGGGGCCGGGCCAAACCGCCCCACCCCACCCCCGTCAGTTCCCTATTCGGTCCGTCTAGGGAGTAGACCTATAGGGAGGTGGCCCTTCATTCAAACGGACCTATTGCTTAAAATCCCCCCCATCATCCTGCCTGGCAAACAAACGTGGGGGGCGCGCCCGGCGAGGGGGAGGTCTTCCGTCGACCCCCCTCTTGTGACGCGAAAACTTTTTAATTATTTCCCTCACAAACACACACCCCCAATCTCTACAGAAATAAAGTTCTCTCTGCCTCTGGCTCTTTCTTGTGGGATTGCTTTCCTCCCTTATATGTCTGAGGGGTTTAAAAAAAAAACACCACACAAGCTATTGCTTTTTTTTTTAAATAAGGAGCCTTTTTGAGATTCCTTTAAAAAAATGAGCTCTCTGGCGCCTTTTCAAGGGGATGGGGGAGAGTAGCACCAAACGTGAGAGTTTTATGTGATCGATGGACCACCCCCCACGGACCGAGGTGGAAAGATTTTTCCCTTTGAAAAGCCCAGAAACGATTGACCCTTTTTGTGTGAGCTTCGTGAAGGTCGTCGTGAGGAGAGAAGGGGGAAAAGACCTCCCGCCATGACAGACTTTGCCTCTCAGGGAGGTCAAGGACCGGATTCTGACGGCCATCTTTGGACAGATTCCCATCAAAATGGATTGTCCTGAGGGGCTTTAGTCTAATATTATCATATTAAACAAAAAAAAAATCTTTTCTTTTCCTCCTATTTACATGTCTTCTCTACAGGGCATGGCCCTTAACCAGTATTTTGCGGCTGCCCAGCCGTCTTGCCTGGCTCTGAGGGGAGACATGAGGAAAATTCCCCACAGAAAGGTCTTAAAATGCCTTTTTTTTTAATTGTCCAAAGAAAAAGCGTTTTTGAGCCCCCCCTTTTTTTTGGTGAGACGAAGGAGCTTTTCCAGCAACCTCCACAGAAATAAAGTTCTGGAAGTCTCTGGATCTTTCTTATTAGATTTTCCTACTTCCTCCCTTACATTTCTGAAGAGAAAAAAATAAACCAGAAGCCTGGCTGTTGAGGAAACCTTCACAAAAGGAAGCCATGGCTCCTTTCACCGACGTTGCAACACCCAGAGTTTATTATTCTATCCTACCAGCGGCCAAATTTTGAAAGGATTTTCCTTTAAAATGCCCAGAATTGGCATCACATTTTTGTGGAATGAAGAAGGTAGAAATGATTTAACTCAACTTGACAATTCCCTGATATTTCTGAGGGAGGGAAACACCTAAAAATCAGTTCCCGATCCACCAGGAGATGTCTTTACTCCCTGGAAATCTGAGGGGAGAGGAAAAAAACTGACTGGGAACTAAAATGGGGGTCCCTTCAAGCGCCCAACCTTGATATGAAATTTTCCTGTGGAAGAAACTCACCAAGAGCGGCTTGTGGAGATGTTGCTTGAACAATTCAAAAGCACACACATTGATCTCTTCATTTATTTTGCAAAAAAAATGAGAGAAACCCCGCTCTAAACAGAAAGCAAAAAACAAAATAAAATTGGAATTCTCACTCATTTAAGCAAGAATTAAACAGATCGAAAATTGGGCATGTGAGGGTGTGTGGCACGGGTGGGTTTGTTCCTTGTGCAGCTCCTCATTCTCCTTTTTTGTTCAAAAACCCAACTTTTCTCTTTTATTTCTTGGGAATCGAGGGCGGACGAAGCTGAGAGAAGCAAAGACGCCACGGGGAGTTACGCTGGAGCAAAAACATGGAAGTGGCTCAAACCTCCGCCCCAGCAGATTTCTGCAATTTTTATTTTATTTCCCACCACCACCACCACTCTACATCTCCTCCTGGTTTTGTTTTGCTTTTTTTGCAAAGTTTGTAGGGCTAAATAGGGCTTAGAACTAGCAAAGGTGGATTTCCTGAGGACACAAGAGAGTTAATCCCCCTGGGGAAGAGCCATCATCTCATCCTCCCTTCGCATCATCTTTGCTTGGCACCGTGTGGCCCTCTTGGAGAAATGCATCATTTCAGCGAAAGGAGGGACGTTAAAGGGAGGAAATACGCAGTCATCTGTGCGGCTGCCATGTTGGACGAAACATCGGGTGCCTCTGAAAAGACCAAGATGGAGCGAGGCAGCTGTTTTGAAGATCGTGACCCCCTTGTGGATCATGCACGTTCTTCCTCCTGCACCATCTCCTTAGGGCTTGGGTGGCCCCTCTCCAAAGATGGGCGCCGTCTCCTCGTTCCACGTGAGGCCGCTGCCCGGGAAGGGCCGGCCCGGGGCTCTGTTGAAATACTCCAGGAAAAGCAGCACGGCCATCAGGCACCAGAAGAAGAAATTCACCCAAGCGGCGGCCTGAAGCCAGGAGAAGGAGGAAGACTGGGTCAAAGCCCAGCCGGAAGACCAGGGGCATGCACAGTGAGGCACACACAAAGCAGCATTGCATGCATCAACTCCCCTGCGCTCCCTCCGCCTTCCATGATTTATATACCACCCTGCTTGAGGAAGCATTCTGTAGGACTCCTAAGCTGGCACACTTTGGTGCAACTGCAGCTGGTCCTTAAAAAAGGACCTGTCAGCCTGTGGATTTGGGCTGCGTTTTGATCTCGTAGTAGACCAACACAGGCATTATGGTTTTTATGCACGATTTAAGTTAACCAATTTAAAGCACATTTCGGTGCAAGCTGCTGAGACTTCTTTGGCCCAATTAATCCTTGTTTTGTGCTTATTATGTAGCATAATAATTGGTCACTCTACGGACTATCCTGTTTTGGAGTGGAGAAAACCCTGTTTCAAGCAACCATTTTTCCTTCCTTTTACAAAATGGGCTTCAGATGTACAGACAAAGCTTACCATCCAACCCCTACGAGTATCTGAAACGAGGAGAACGCTTCTTTTAAATGCCATTTTCCTGGGATGGGGAATAATTGGGGGGGGGAATCCCATATGGGGAACAGGAAGCAAAACCAGTCTTGCTGGGTAGCCCTCCCTAAAAGTCGATGCCACCCCATCCAGTGCCACTCACTTCTGCAGTGTAGAGATTGTCATAAAATCTTTCAGCGTGATAAGGCTGGACCCAGGGGCGGTGCTGAGCCTCTTGGCAGCTAGACAGGACGAGAGAAGAGGAGAATCAAAGGGGTTAGGAGTGCATCAAAGCCCAGCCATTTTTCAAAAGGGAGAGGTCAACCCCTATCATTTATTAGTTCCCACCCCTCCTCCAGGACAAGCTTCTGCAGCTATCTGACACGTTGTTCCCCAAATTCACCTGGTTGCGGCCGCCGCTTTCTGGATGGAGTTGCAGAGCGTATCCATACCAACCCGAAGGATGCAGCCGGAGACCATGAGGAAGAAGAGGATGATGGCTGTGAGAGCCAAGGAGCCCTTGACCCACGTGTGGTCCCTGAAAGAAAAAGCCACCAAAATCAGTCAGCCAGCCAGCCCCTCCTGCCCGCAGCACAGTTTCTCATTTTGCCCCCCGCCCACCCACCTGCACCCCCCACTCACGGCTGCCCGTCACCAAAGCAGCAGTTGTAGATGCCATGGATCAGGATGCCGAAAGATACGGCGGAGGTGAGGACGGAGACGGCCGAGACGAAGTAGCAAAGGGAGACGGGGCTGGAGCTGCTGAGCCAGAGCGTCCCATTGTAGAGGACTGAACTGTACAGGATGCAGTGGCCCCCAAACTCCCCCTGGAAAGAGAGAGAGAGAGAAAGTCAGGGGGAATGGAGCTGCTGGTCTGCTAGCCAAGAAGGTGGACCTCTGAGAGGGATGCTATGGGGCCACATTGCTGTAGCAGTTTGTCCCTCTGTGGGTTTTGGACCCACAGCCCCTGGGAGTTGCAACCATCTGCAAACTCGCTCAGCAGTTTTTAAATGGTGGACTGGTTAGCCATCCATCCATCCATCCATCCATCCATCCATCCATCCATCCATCCATCCATCCATCCATCCATCCATCCATCCATCCATTCCATGTACAGTATTTCTTTAGTTTATATATCACCCCCATTAATGCTGAAGCATTAGCACTGTTCTGGGCAGTTTATCAGTTAAAAAAACCACACTTCACAAAACCACAAGCACTAAATTGCAACACAAATAGGAGCTGCGTAGCATGAAAACCAACGACAAACCAAAGCAGGTTTTCAAAACAAAGCAGAACAGGTGGCAAGGCACTCCACCACGGCCGACCATGAAAGGCCTCCCGGAATAGTCGTTTTTCCTAAACTGCCTCCTAAATGAGTATGGGGAGGGCCCTCCAGGTGTAGCACTTCCGGGAGCTGATTCCATCATCTAAAGGCCACTGCAGAGAAGGCCCTGCCTCTAGCAGAGGACTTTTGGTCCTCTCTTGGGGCAGCAATACCGAGGGGCCTGGCCTGAAAGGCTCTGGTCAGCCGGGCGGAGGACCTCGGGGAAAAATGCTCCGACATCATTTAGGGGCACTGCCATAAACAGTGCACTAGGTTGGCGGGGGGGATGTCTCTGGGACACCTAGAATCACAGGGTGGTACACTTAGAAGCAGTGCGTGCAGAGCCAGGGTCCCCCTGATGAGCAGCTGCTCTTCTAAGTTCACCCAGTGGTCAGAAGGGACCCCGAGGGTCATCTAGTCCTACCCCCTGCCCAAGCAGGAATCTAAAAGTTAAAGCATCCCTGACAGACGGCCGTCTAACTCCTGCCAAACGAGAGTCCCCCACCGCCTGAGGTGCTCCCTTCAACAGCCAAACAGCCTCTTAAATTCTTCCTGAGAGTTAAACAGAGTCTCCTTTCTTACACTTTGGATCCCCTAGTGAGAATCTGGCCACTGGACTGCACACTTTTTTGTCTTTTACAGAGCTTGGAAAAATAACGTTTTGGGTGAACCCCTTTTAGAATTCCCCAGCAAGCAACTTCATGTTCCCAGAACAGCAAACTAACTGTTCTGTGTTGACTTTCTTCCTCCGTTGCCTGCCTTTCAGCCCACCTTTGCCTGATGCAGAGTTCTGTAGAACTCAGAAGACGGCACAAAGCTTTCCCTGCCCTTTTGACTGATCCTAAGAAATGCATTTCCTCCGACAATGTGTTTTATTTTTTCATGATGGACCAGGCATGAGGACCTTTCCTTTAGCTTTTGTCATTCCCATGACGCCTGTTGCTATTTACCGAGAGCTGGTCAATAACAGCAGTAATTGACCGATTCTTTACCAGGAGGTTTAGAGAAAAACCCTTCCAACACAAAGTTCCTAAGATGGCCTTGAGCCAGACCCATTGTGGTTTTGAGGCGGGCTGGATTCCTTCATCTTTCTGGAGGAATCTGGCAAGGCAAAGTTTGGAAAAAAATTAACCTCGATCCATGAAAACCCACATAAAATATAATACATAGTTACTTTTTCAGGTGCCACACTGTTTTGTCCTTTTCCCCCCTTCTTTTTCCCTTTAGATGTTGCTTGCTTGCACAGATTAACACGGCTGCCTCTTCTAAAATTACCTTTTTTAGGTTAGACTTTCTTTTTTAACACCCACCCTCCCTGCAATAAGTCACTTTTACGACTTTAACTCTGTTCCTCCTACAGATTTGGGTTCCCTGTCTGCTGGGTGATTTTATTTGAGGCCACATCCCAAACCAGACCCAAAGGGAGAATTTTGCCTTCCCTTCTTTTTGTATCAACATATTTGTTAAATTAATGCTCTCTTCGACGGAGGAAGAACTAAAGTTCTCTTCAGGGAAAAAACAAAAACAAATGAACTACAATAAGAATCACGTGATGGTTTGTGTGTGTCTGGAAAAAGAAAAGAGGAGAAATTCTGGGTAATTCCCCAGGAGCACACCAAAGAGGCATTTATGATCCAGAAATTCGCCTCTGGGGTTTTGATGCGCTAAGCGGCGCATGACGGAGGCCGGGCTGGTTGGAAAAGAAAAGCGTTCCTAGAAAAGGAAGAGGCTGTTTTTCTCAGCTAGAAGGAAGTACTAGACGTAATGGTCGCAGCCAGCCAAACTTTCACTGGGGCGCTCAGCTGACAAGCATTATGCACAGCCCTGAAACTCACATGACAGCCTCAACCCCGGATAAGAGTTGCAGGAGGAGAGGGTGAAGGAAGCCAGCCTGGGGTTGCTTTTTTTTCCCCCCAAGTCTGCTGCAAGGTTTTGCCTTTTATTAGCCAGAAATTAGAATTATTAGTGGGGTTTTTTCTGACTACAAACTCCACAATCCCCGTGTTTTGGCCACATATCTGGGTTTGCCTCGGAGAGACAGAGCAAGAGGGAGGGAGGAGGCGAGTGCTTGGAGACGACACATTTAAAGGGATTTCCAAGGGGAAAAAACCAGATGGCTTTCAAATTTGCCTGAAAGTTTTTAAATTCAGCTGGACCATGAGGACTAGAAACCTGGCAGGCAGGAAGATGGATCTCAGCTTTCGAAGGGCTCTTTCCTTGGCTCAGTTTGGGAAAGAGGGAAGGCATTTATTAGGCAGGGAAACACTTTGGGGTGAAGATTTAGTTTTTAAGCCTGGCCCAGATTTTACACCCCTCTCTCGCCCACCCCAAATAGGTTTGGGGATCCGGGTAAAACACGGGAGCAATCTCTCTGTTTCCTGTTAAGAGACAGAGCAGCCACCCGAGGGCTCAGATGTTTGCTCTGCCTGCTTGGACTGGCTACCCAGAAGCCTTTTGCACAAGCTCAGGAGCGCCCTTGCTTGGCCACCTCTTTTACAGCCCTGCCCCGATGAGCCTCTTAACACATTCCGACCAAGCCAAGGGGACCGCCCTTTAAACTCTGCACATGCTCAAGAGCGCAGCCGGGCAGAGCTTGCCTCCAGCCAGGCGCTCTGCACGCGCTCAGAGGCTCTAGCGCAGCTTCTCCAGACCAGGAAGAGAAGAAAAGGATGGGGGGGATGATTCCCCGTCCCCCACCCACCCCGGCTCGACCTGTGGGGCTGCAGAGCCTTACCTGGGTGACGGTGAGGGCCGAGGCGCAGATGATGCCGCAGAGGAAGGCGGCCGCGCTCAGGGCCAGCTCGACCAGGAGCCGCCCGGAGAGCTGCGCCATCTTCCAGCCGGGGGGAAGCCACGGGGGCCGGCCGGGAAGGAAGGAAGGGGCCGCCCCGCCGGCCTGGGTCTCCGCCCCGGCAGGAGCGCCGCGCTCGGGTTTGGAGAGGTCCCGGTGGACCCTTGAGATTGTTCCGCGGACGGGCTGGCGGGGGAAGCTTCAGAGTTTGGGGAAGTTACTTCCGCGGACGACGGTCAGGTTCAAAGGCCGAGGAACGAACTACTTTCTCGTTGAGTTCGGGGGAGGGTTTGCCTGCTGCGTTCGTTCAAGGTGGCTCCCTTCCAACTCTGCAATCCTGCGGATCTGCCATTGAAACAATACCTTTATCTGTGGTGGGGGTTTCCTTCTCCTGCAGGTTAATTTCCCAGCTTGGCATCATGAAATAAAGGCAAAGGCCAGTCTTGACATGCCTGAATCTTAACTTCCCTAAGAATGAAAGTTCCTTATAGCCCAAAGATTCAAAATCTAAGCCTCTTTCACCTTCATGTTCCAAACGCCAAACCGTGGGGGGTCTCTAAGGATGGACAAGAGCGCCTTTCGGAAAGTCATCAAAAGCCATGTGTTTCCCAGGGTTTGTGTGTGTGTGTGTTTTTTTCTACTCAGAGGTAAGACACGGGGCAATCTGTTAAACACATTTATCGATTTATTTATTTTCTTACCGGTTTATTAGATTTGTATTCCGCCCCATGAGTGCAATGTACTATTTTGGGCAGTTTACAACCACAAAATTAAAATAAAAACACAGAGACAAAAGAACACCCCACCTACAAGAGGCCTAACTGGCCAAAAGCAGACCCTGTGAGGTAGATCAGGGAGAAAGAGTATGGCTGGCTCACGGTCCCCTGGCAGGGGAGTGTGAGGGCCGAGTGTGGATTCGAACCCCAGTCCTTCCAACACAACCTGATCTACCTTCGGCTGAGGCCCGGCTGAGGAAGATCCTCCAGTCTCCACGATTCTGGGAGGCCGCCAGAGGACGGAGGAGACCCTAGAGCCGGAGAAGATGCCTGGAGTCCATAGGGTGGGTTGCCCTTCAGCAGTCCTTGAAAACGGCCAGGGGGCTCCTTGGCCCACCTTTGGTCTGACCCACTTGTGAGGTGCCCACACTCGCCTTTTTGCTGAGAATATGGAGGGAGGCGAGGGACCCCAACCGTGCCCATCATCCCCGGGTAGCAACAGTGGAGTCCATCGCCAGCTCACAGCATTCTTCCCACTTGTTTGAGGTGGTTTGTAATTCTCTTTAAACGATGCCTAATTTTGGATCTGCATACACCTATAGTTCCAGCCCCAGACTGATTTCTCAGGAGAATTCAGGGGAGGCAGCAAGACTCTGACCCAGGCAGTGAGTGGTCCCTCCTGTTCATACAATTAGCTAGCCGGTCACCCAGGCGAAGGCGCCTCTGGCCATTTCCAAGACCTGGGGAGCATAACCCCATCCTGCTGGATTTGGGAGCGGGGGAGGCAGTCCCCTTTCTTTTGGCCCCCAAAAAAGAGTATGAAACGGAAATCTCACAACCGGGCAGAGCGACGCTGCTTATCTCTCTCTTGGAAATCAGCAGCCCTCGAAAACCAGCCCTGAGACTCGAATTCAGTCCCACTGTGAACTCCGTGGCCTCTGAATGGGTCCCCATTAGTTTGTGCTGCTCTCTAAGCACTGGATTTGGGACTCAAACCAAGAGGGGCGCCCAGCGGACACCACCAGGAAAGAGATGCACAGAGACAGGTCAAAGAAGGAGGAAACTGTGAGATTAGAGGAAAGGGGCCTGCGAAGAAGACGGGCCTCATCATAGAAACGGTGGGAACATTTCGGTCCATTCAAAGGGATCGGTGCGTATTCTTCCGTAGTTCCAGGTCCGGCTCAGGCAGTTCCCTGGGGAAGAAGGAGGACCTGAGTATTTGGGACAGTGCCTCCCTCTGAGCCTCCGGTCCTTGGCGTCTCGCTAGAGAAGCGCAGGCCGTGCCAGATGCTGTAGAAACGCAGGGCCGGTTCAGGACTGCGTGAGGGACGAGGCGATCCAGGGAGGTGGACGTGTGCGCACACCTTGCATCTTTTCAGCCCCGAGGTTTTTTGTCCAGAAGCCTCTTGTGACCCAAAGCTTGGCTTTCCTTTCCTGTTTCTTCATAGTGTGGAAGGTCAGCTTCTCACCTCCTCAAAATGCACGCCCACGATCCGTCCTAGAGGCTGACGCTACCCTATTGCGAGCCGTTAAAGGCTCATCCATTTCCCCCTGCTTTCGTTCAATTGGTGCCACCCGGTGCTGCTTAAGGGTGGGTTCTTCCTGGCCTTTCTGCCCATGCAACCACCTCCTCTTCCCTCTTAAGAAATCAGCATGGTTTTAAGAAACAGGTGGTAAAAAATATTTCCAAATCTTGAAGAAACCCTTGAAGAAACTTTGTTTAAAGACCATCACATTCCCTTCTGTGCCACCTTTCCCCTGACTTCGCTTTAGTAGATTTAACTTAAAAAGAAAAGTTTAGATGGTGGTAGCGATTTCTTAAAAGGGACGTGGTGGCGCTGCGAAAACCCATTAAGAGGAACACAAAAGACAAGCAGTTGTAAGATCGAATCCACGCGACGGAGTGAGCCCCCGTCGCTTGTCCCAGCTCCCGCCAACCTAGCGATTCGAAAGCATGCAAATGCGAGTAGATAAATAGGGACCACCTCGGTAACAGCGTTCCGTGTCTTAAGTCGCACTGGCCATGTGGCCACGGAAGATTGTCTTTGGAGAAAACGCTGGCTTCGTGGCTTGGAAACGGGGATGAACACCGCCCCCTAGAGTCAAACACGACTGGACCAAAATTGTCAAGGGGAACCTTTACCTTTACCTAGCGATTTCTTACTCAGCCACCTTGGTGAAGAGCAGCCTTCAAAAACCACTGTTTTAAGGAAAAGAAATAATTTGGGGGGGGGGAACCAGAATAGATCATTCTGAGAGGTTGTGTTTGTTTATTTGATTTTGATTTTGTTTCTTCTTGAACGGGAGAAAATGAAAAGTTTCCACCGGGAGAACCAACCAAACAGATTCCTCATACAGTATTTTCGAGGAGAGGTTTCAGCGTACCAAAAAGCAAGGCCTTTCTCGCAGTTTTAAAAGTAGGGAGAACGTTGGACCTGGCATCACTTGGATGGAGGGGGGGAAATCTGGTATCATCAGTGAACACAATGGAGGGGAAAATGTTCTTCCTGGGAGACACAAACCACCCACCCACCCTTCTTTGGCCAACCTGGATCGTGGTTGGTGCCACCAGGGTCACCCTGGATTTTACTTTCTAGGCTTCAAAGCCCTTCGCCAGCCTTGGACGATTCCCATCCTTGGACAAAGGAAAGGATCAGTTATGACTTAACTGTAAATTTTTTAATGTTTTTTTTTTTTTTTTTTGGTGTTTTTTCCCCCCCCCCCCCCCCCCCCCCGAAAGGGACAGTTAAGCCGGTCTGGATGGATTTTGTGGCAATGTCACAGTTTCTCTCCGTTCAATATGGGATTTCTCACCATCTGGCACTAACATAAACAGTCTCTGGATGGTTCCCTTCATGTTCAAACACGGCAGGGCTTGGATGGGAGTTTGGATCTATCTTGGATCTGGTCCATTTTGGCCGTTCCGACTGTTCTTTTTCAACCGTTGGGGTGTTTTCCTTTTCTCAGTCATGTTTACCAACCTCCGTCTCAGAGGAGAAGCAATCAAGTTGAGGGTGTTTTCGATCCCTACCGATTCCTCGTCTGTCCCAGCTAAAAGGACACCGTGGTGACTTTCTTTTTGAGGGGGTGGGGATTGACTTGGTCTGGATTGGAACACAAACTGCCCGCGAGGGGATCACGGATGTGCCAAAGACGGTGCTTCTAAACCAAGAAAGACGAAAGGAAGCAACGAAAACCCATTAAGAGGAACACAAAAAAGCACCAAGGTGAAGCCTTTCCAAGATGTCACGGCCTGTGAATTCGGAGAAGGGGAAAAGACCCTTCTGGACCCACCTTCACAGTTACCGGAAAGCGCAGACACAGTCCCTGAAATGCGGAACGGTGTGTGGTGTCCTTTGCTTAACAATATTGGTACCACCTTTCCCCCCCTTTTACCACACCCTTCGCGGGCAAGAGCAAATCGTATAAAACTCTCACCATCTCCGGCTTTTCTAACACCACCTTTACATCGCCTTCGGACACCTTTCAGCTTCTGCTGTTCAGCTTCTTCAGCCCTTGGTAAGTCACCTTCCAAAATCGCTCACAGGGATGAACGAAAAGAAAAATTAAGAAATTCTACAAAAGTGCAAAACTTGATTGTATGAATCTGACCGAAAAATCATGAAATTGTTTGTTCAAAAGGGAAGTTGTAGTTCAGGGGACAAGAGAGCGGAGGGATTCCCCCATCCAGGCAGAACTTTCCTCTTGATTCTGAATCCGGCATCTTTGGCCCTTCCTAGCCATGTTGGTGGTGCTGAGTTCAGGTCGCCTCTGCTGCTCTCTTGACCTCTTGAGAACCTACCTGGAAGCCAGGTATGGCGTTCCTTTGGCCTCGCAAGGAATACTTGTCATGCTGCAGACAGGCGAGAGTTTTGTTTGTTTCCCAATTAGGAATCCTTTATGGACATTTATAAGTACTTTCATCAAAGTCTAGGCTTCTTGTGATCCATCCGGGTGATCCCTCCACTCTCTGACCTGGTCCCTGAGACCCCAACCCAAGAGGGCTCCCAGGTGGGGGATCACCGCCAGGGAAAGGCGACGCAAGCAGGAGTTTCTCCTGGGGGGATGGAAATGGGGAGGCCACGAAACCCTTTCCTGTCCCTGTTTCTCACGGAAGCGACCCGGAGGCTGGAGGGGAACCTCAGGGGTGGGGATGTGGGTTTTCTGTTGCTCCATTAGAGTCCTTAATCTTGGCTCTCTCGCTTTTTTCCTCAGGACCTCCTCTAGGATGTCGAGCATACATGATGACATTTCCCCCCTTGATGTAATTGTTCTACAGTCAGCAGCTTTGGCTGGGCAAGGTCCATCCGTCGTCTCCCCCTCCAGGATGTCCGGCACACTTGGTGGCCTTTCCCCCCTTGATGCAATTCTTGTAGAGC